CCTCCTCTTCCTCCTTCCCCCCCCTCCTCCCCCTTCTCCCCCCTCAAGCAACTTCGGCGCGGGCTTATTGCCCAGGCCGCTCCAGGACCTCCCCGCGGTGCTTGAGGGGCGCTGTCGCGGCTGTCGCAGGTTTGACCGCTTCCGACATCAACGAACGCTGGAGTTTAGCTGTGCCACGGGATGGGCGCCGAAGCGCGGCGCCCAAGGCCCGCCCCGCGAGAGTGCAGAGCCCGCCGGGCCTGGGCGCCGTTGCCGGCTGAGCAAGCCATCCACCGCCTGGCGCGCGAGGCGGAGCAGCTCCGCAGGATGCAGCATAGTAGACAGTGGCATGGCAGCCTCCGGAGGACTTGGCATGGGCGTGGGGGCTGGGAGAGCAGCGGCTACAACCGCCGCGGCATTGCGAGATGCGCGAGGCGAAGTTGGAGCCCAACTCTACAAGCCCAGCCCCTGATCCAGCAAGCGTGTGCCAGGGGGAAGCCGAAGCTAGAGCCCCATGTGATCACCTGCAATGCTGGGATCAGTGCAAGATGGCGGAAGGCGAAGTCGGGGCCCGACGCGATCATTTGCAACCTTGGGATCAGCGCGCGTCGTGGAGGGACGCGGTGAAGTCGCAGCCCGGCGTCGCCAGCGACCCCCGCGCGGCGCATTCGGAGTCATCCCAGGCCTTTCCTTGCGAGGAGCGGTCGGCGCAGGTGGAACCCGGCGCTGCCTGCCTAGCCCCCGCTCAAGCCAAAGCGTGCGAGAGGACGGACAGCGAAGTTAGAGCTCGGCGCGATCATTTGCAATGCTGGGGCCAGGGCACGCACGTGGCGAAGTCGCAACCCGACGTCGCCAGTGACCCTCGCGCGGTGTATCAGGAGTCGCCCCAAGCACTTCTTCGCGAGAAGCGCGCGGCGAAGTTGAAGCCCGACGCTACTAGCCTGGCCCCCGATCCAGCCAAAGTGCACGAGATGATGGAAGGCGAAGTTAGAGCCCGACAGGGTCACTTGCAATTCTGCCACCAGGGCATTTCTAGGGCGACGTCGCCGCCCGACGTCGCCAGTTACTTTCATGCGGTGTATTCGGAGCCACTCCAGGCGCGTCTCTGCGAGAAGCGGACGGCAATGTTGGAGCCCGACACTACTAGCCATGCCCCTGGCCCAGCCGGCGCGCGCGAGAAGAGGGAAGGCGAGGGTAGAGCCTGACGTGATCACTTGCAATTATGGGATCAGGGCTCTGCTGGAGCGAAGTCGCCGCCCGACGTCGCCGGGGACTTTCGCACGGTGTTTTCGGAGCCATCCCAGGCACTTTATCGCGAGAAGCGGGCGGCGAAGTTGGAGCCCGACGCTACTGGCCTAGCCCCTGATCCAGCCGAAGTGCGCGAGAGGACGGAAGGCGAAGTTGAAGCCCGACGCGATCATTTGCAATTCGGCGATCAGGGCAACCCTGGGGCGAAGTCGCAGCCCGACGTCGCCAGCGACTTTCGCATTGTTTTCTCGGAGCCATCCCAAGCACCTCATTGCGAGAAGCGGACGGCGAAGCTGGAGCCCAACCCTACTAGCCTAGCCTTTGATCCAGCCAACGTGCGTGAGAAGAGGGAAGGCGAATTTGGAATCCAATGCGATCAGCTACGAAGCTGGGATCAGGGCAGGGTACAGTCAGATGCTGTTTTTCTCCGTGAGCGAGTTGCCGAACAAAACGCATTTGAACGTCAACGCATCATGCGCGCCAGTCGTTTCAAGCCCAAGCCTTTCGTACGTCGCCTGGCTCACATTGCGTCGACATCGAACGCCAGTATTGAGAGATGTTTTTTTCAGCGTGGAAAGGGGCGCGCTCAGCGCAAGGAATGGAAATGGGTACCTGCGCACGGCCGCTCGCCGACAGATCGCGGAGCCGAGGTTGGAGATCTTCTCTCCGCACTCGGCGCAGCCATCGCATCAACGTCGACGAGGTGAATCGCTCCTTTCGTTCGAGTGCCTTCTGAGGGTAGGCCGCACCGAGCCGAGCGGCCCCGATGTTACCATGAGCGACCGAGTCGCTTGATCCAGATGCTCCAGATGATTCTCCTTCTCCTCCTCCTCCTCCTGCCCCCTGTTCCTCTTCCTCCTCCTCTTCCTCATTAATATCCTTCTCCTCCTCCTCCTCGTCCTCCTCCTCCTCCTCATCCTTCCCCTCCTCCTCCTCCTCCTCTTCCCCCCTCTTTTCCTCCTCTGCCCCGTCCTTCTCCTGATCATCCTCCTCCTCCTCCCTCCTTCCTCCTCCGCCTCCTCCTCCTCCTCCTCCCCATCCCTCTCTTCATCTCAGGTTGGGTAACGGGGGTGTCAATCAGTTATGTTCCGCCAGCGTTTGCAAGAAGGCTTCTCGACCCTGGCAAGAGGAGGAGCAAGTGGAGGAGGAAGAGGAGGAGACGGGAGAGAGGAGGGAGGGCCAGTTTAACCACCGCCGGGGGTTCCGGGGGGGGGGGAACTAAAGACTTCTAGAGGTTAGTCGGTGGTCAAATTTCTCACGGTTGCGCGACTCTGTTTGAACATGTCTGGATTATTTTTCACATGTTCATCCACAATCCGCTTGTATAGGAGGACGTGCCCGACCTCGCCCTCGTTCCTGGCCTCTGGCCAGATACCACCTCTGGGCGTCGTGTTTGGCGGCGGCGGCGCCCTCGTCGCCGTCCCCGCAACCGCCGCGTTCTCGTCGGCGTGCCATAATTTCAGGACCTCGGGGCGAGGCCCTGCGTGCTGGCGAAGGGGCCCCGGAAAGACCCAGCATCGGACGGGGCCGGGACGATGAGAAGTCTTAAGTCGGGCCGGTCTTTCTACAGGAGGACTATTCAAAAATAATCAGACCATGGTACGGGGACGATTGTTCGATTATTTTCGAATTTTGTGAAATATGGTTGCCTGTGTTGGAATATCCGTAAGGGCTTCGCCCCCATGCCGCCAGCCTCCCTCTCTTAGAATGGGACTTGCCAGAGCTGTTTTTGGATGTCTGGGCGCTGACGTGAAGCAATGTCGGGACTTCGAGGGCCAATCTTAATGTACGAGGGTTTCTGGTTTCGGTGGCACGAATTTCAGTTAATGTATGATGGTTTATTGCTTCGGGGCGCGAGTAATTTGTATAATTTGCGACATCGTTGTGGCCTCGGGAACGCAACCATTGCATCATTTACTTAAGTTGGCCTCGGGGGCACAAACATGGTGTAATTTACTATGGTGTATGGCCTCGTGGACGCTAAAGTTGTATAATTTGCGAGGGTTTGTAGCCTCGGGGACGCAACAATTGTGTAATTGATAAGGGTATGGTTCGTGGTTGCGAATCTTGACATTTTCCCAGGTTTATGGCTTCGGGGGCACGAACATGTTTTAATGTGTGAAGTTGTATGGCTTCGGGGGCGCCAACATGAGTTAAAATACTATGGATTATGGCCTCGGGACGCGACTATTGTATAATTTACATTGGATTATGGCGTCGGGGACGCGAATACAATGTACTTTACGAGGGTTTATGGCCTCGGGGACGCGGACATGGCCTAATTTACTAGGGGCTGTGGCCTCGGGGACGCGAATCTCATGTATTTTTATGCGTCCCACGATCCCCAGAGAATTCTGACAACGCGATTCGGGGACGCTGACCAGGACGCTTTTCGGCTCCCCCCCTCGCACGTTCAGCAACAATTAACGGTAAGAAAGCAGAAACCAGGATTGTCACAGTGGAAACTGGAAACTGCGACCAGAACAGGGAGCTGCAATCCTCACCCTCGCAGCTTGGTGCCCCCGCAAGGGGGCCGGCGGATGTTCTGTCCCTTTTCAATTGTTCGTCCAAAATCCGCCTGTAGGAGGACATGCCCGATCTAGGAAAAGTCCGTTCCAAGCTTCGCTGGAGCCCAGGGGGCCTGCGGCACGCGGGAGACCCCCAGGGGAATCGCGGGTCCCCACCCGAGATTTGGCCATTGCGGCTCCGGGCCCCTTGGATCTAGGCTTCCTATATAGGGTCCGAGTAGATGGGGTCAGAAGAGCGCGCCGCATCGCTGATGCATCGCCGATGCGGTTCGATGCGGAGCCCACGCGTGACGTCGCCGATTCATCGCCGACGTCGGCGATGCATCGCCGGTGCATAGCCGATGCATCGCCGATGTATCGGCGATGCGGCGAGATCCTCCGACACCATCTAATCCGACCCCACTTCGGAGGCCTCTATTGAAAACTCCCTATGAACTGCGGGCAAAGTCCCTATGAACTGCGGGCTGAGGCTTGGAAGGTTCCGCGCAGCTTTTTGTTGCTGCTTCCAGCGCTTGGGCAGAGCTAGGACGAAGAGAAATTCGTTCCAGAGCGCTCCGGAACCCACTCAGAGCGTGCCGGAACGCTCTGAGAAGGTCGCGGTGCCCGAGGCAGCATCCAGTGCCGTCGGATCTCGGAGATCTTCGATTTACCCTAACCCTATTTATCCGCGTCCTGGCTTCGTCTTAGCCTGCAGTTCCCCACAGCTTTGCAGAGGGCCCGAGGGACATCCCGAGCCCTCGCCCATGGGTGAGGCTCCCCGAGGGCCTCCAGAGGCTCCAGAGCTCCCAGAAGCCCCCAAAAGCAACAGAAAGCCAAGAGGCCGTCCGTCCTCGTCCTTCGTCCGTCGTCGGCGCCCGACGTTTTCCGTCGCCCTCGTCCTCGTCCTCACCCTCGTCGTCGTGGTCGTCCTCGTCCTCGTCCTCGTCGTATGCCGTCACCAGAGATGCGACGTTCTGATGTTTTCAATGCGCGGTCCCCGGAAGTCCCGACCCTTTCCCCGGGGACGGTTTTCCATCCTGAATCTTCTTTTGTCGGTCCCAGGGCCTGGCGATGGCCCCCGGAGGCAGGAAATGGCAACAAAAACCTTAAGCCGCGTTCTTTTTCACGACGCGATCATGTCTGGGTCCGCCGTTTGCCGTCGATCGTCGTCCGCCGCCGCTGACGCATTCCTCCGCTGCCGTCGCCGGCCAGACTGGCCGCGCCCGCGCGGCGGCCAGAGCGCCGCGCCCTCCCCCCCGCGGCGAGGCCGAGGCCCGCGGGGGCGTCCACTCGAGGCCGTCGTCGCCCGCGTCGCCGCGGTCGCAGGCGTCGCCCTCGCCGCGGTGCGGAGCTTGGCCCGCTCTCGGCGCCGCCCGCCGCCGCCGTCGTTGCGCCGCCGCTGCGCCGCCGCTCCAGAGCCCTTCACCTCCACTATCCATACCTTCCGACTTCCACGGAAGGTGCGGGATGACGCGCCGGAGCCCATGGAAACCATGAGCAGTTCAAGGAAGCCCACATAGATCATATGGAAAATCGGGCGGAAGGTCAGGGCGGAACGTCCAGAAGAGTGAGGGGGAGGGAGTGGCGGCGATCCATGGCGCTGGTCGTCCTGTCGCCACTCGGCCTCTCGTCGCCACTCGGCGGCGAACCAGGGGGGGGAAGCGGGATGGGGCGGATCCTGAGGCCTTCCAGCGGCTGCGCCTCGTCGAGAGTGTTCTTGTGGTGCCCGGATCGTCCCGCATAGCTGTTGGAGAACCGAGTTAAGACCCGAAAGCCACACGACGAGGATCACTGAGAGGGATAGGCTCAAGGGGGATGCATCCGCACCCTTTCGTCCATTGATCGCCGATAAGGGCCTGATAACCCGTGGCGCCCTGGAACGTGCAGTGCCGTTAATCGTCGGGGGTCTATCGCCGATCTATCTGCAATGAATCGCCGGTTCCAAGTCTCTGTTCCCCCCCGTGAGCTGGTCATGCCTGGTGTTCCCCCTCATGGGAGTTCTGAAGTCGTCCTGGTGCCCCCAGGGGCCTCCGGAGGCCTCTAGGACCTCTCGAGGATGGCTCATCGCCTTTGGGCTGGGGCTCGAACTTCGGTGCCCCTCCTCCTCGGCCTCGTCCTCCTCGCTCCCCCTCCGTCAGCTGAGCGGCGCCAAAAAACGGGTGCGTTTTTGCCGTCATTGGCGCGTCAGTTGCCCGCGTAAGGTCGCGCGTAAGCTCCCTCGTCTCCGGTGTGGTGTGCCGCGCCGGCGGCCCGCGTAAGCCACCGCGTAAAGTCGCTACGTCACCTCGCGTTAGACCGCTTGTTGGTCGTCGCTCAGCTGGCTCTTCCTTGCTTACGAGCGGCGAACCTCCGCGCCCTCGCGGTCTGGAATCCTGGGCGCGACCCCGCGGGTGCGCGGACGCGCGGGCCGCGCGTGGAAAGACCCCGTGGGTGCACCGCGCGGATACGTTACGACCCCGCGGGTGCGCGGGCCGCGCGGATACGTTGCGTGCGCCGCGTGTCCGCAGGGACTCCGCCCAGGGGCCCGGTCCGCGAGGCCACGGATACGGATATGTTCTTCGCCCACGACGTGCCCAAGGACGGAGGAGCTTGGTATTGGGAAGATCTGAGCTTGTAGCTGCAAATGTAGGCGCCACCAGCAAGTCAGGAGGGAGAGGGACATCAAGAATCCTTCTTTGGGGCATGTGGCCATGGAGGTTTGACAACGACTCTTTTCCTCTGCCCGTGCTCCCTGTGGATGCAGCTCCTCCCCGTCGCACTGCCAGGCGCGCCGTCGGGGGGGCGAGCCTGGGCGGCTCGCCCGAGGTTTCCTCGCAGCATGTGATTTCGAGCTTCTCGGAGGGCCTTTCCGGGCGTTGCCCCAGGTGCCCCTTACCCACGGTGCCCCAAGGATTTCCAGGGAGGCCCCTGCGGCTTCCAGAGTATCCTTCACGAGGCCCAGTGAGCCACAGGGGCTCCAACATGGAGGGAAAAATTGGGGGCCTCTCGAGCTAGTTAGGTAACCCCAGACTTCTTCCAGCAGCTTCACGGATAGAGCTTAGGCCGTCTCTAGGGTGAGAATCCAGCCCCAGCGCCATGCGGACCCGTCTCTAGACATTGGCAGCCATGGCACGGACGGAGGCGGCGTGTGGTTTTCAAGATGGGGCTCTCGCCTTGGCGACGCGCACGCCCTCTTCAAGAAGTGCAACATCTACACGGATGGACGACGGGCCGTTTTCAAAGTGCGTGTCGGGCGTGAGATTTCTTTCGGCTGAACGACCTGGAGGTTCCAATCGTGCAACAGATACCTGGATGGAGGGGGGCTCCCTTCAAACATGGAACTCTTGCTTGAGACGTCCTAGAACTGTATGAAACGAGCTGGCTTTGTGAATGCCTAGGCATACCACTGCCGATGCCTAGATATCCGCATGGATATAATAGTATGCCTAACCGCATGCCCCAGATAATTCAGCATCCCCCCCGTAGACCTGAGTGCTGATGATCTCCGGCCAATGCAATTTGGGTCGGCGTTGGTGAGCGGCGGGGCCGAACTTCATTGTCAACGGGGAAAGTACGAATCGTAGGTTGAATCTTCTTACCGCATCATCATCAGCAGCAGCAGCCTCATCATTGGCAGCATCGTTATCACCACATAGTATTATCACAGCTATTATTACAACTGCGGCGATGGCTACTACTACGGCTACTACTACTATTACTACCTCTACCGCTACTACAGACAGCGCCCCGCGTCTCCTCCTCTCCCCTCTTCCCCTTCCTCCCCCTCCCATCATCATCATCATCATCATCATCATCATCATCATCATCATCATCATCATCATCATCATCATCATCATCATCATCATCATCATCATCATCATCAGCATCAGCATCAGCATCAGCATCATCATCATCATCATCATCATCATCAACATCATCATCATCATCATCATCATCATCATCAGCATCATCATCATCATCATCATCATCATCCTCATGACACGAGTGGTCTGAAGCTGCGATCCGCCAAGTGCCCCTGGTGCGCTGGCTGCGTCGGCAATGGAGCGCGCCTTTCTGGAAGATAGGGCAAGGTTTTCTGCAACGCTTCGCTAGCCTTGCCGAGGCGCCGCCCTTTCCGACCATCCTTGCTGCGTCCTGGCGTCCTGCATTGGCCGCGGCCCGCGACGAGCAGGCCATTGCTGCGGGAGAAGGTCGTAAGGGAAGGTCCAACGCATTCTCTCCTCCTCCTCCATCTCGACCTCCTCCTCCTCCTCCTCCTCCTCCTCCTCCTCCTCCTCGTCTGCCCCTCTCCCTCCTCCTCCTCCTCCTCCTCCCTCCTCCTCCTCCTCCTCCTCCTCCTCCTCCTCTATCTCGACCTCCTCCGCCCTGCTCCACCCCCTCCCCTCCTCCCTCCCTCACTCCCTCCTTCCTCCTCCCTCCTCCCTCCTCCCTCCTCTCTTCCTCCTCTTCCTCCTCCTCCTCTTCCTCCCCCTCCTTGGGGGAGGGGGGGGGCGGGAGGGGGCAAGCGGAGAACGGGGGGGGATGGAGAGGGAGGTGGGACAGGCGAGATGCGATCGCGCCACATTTGACATCCTTCCATCCCCTCCAATTCCTTCCCATTGCGCTGGCGATCGGTTTCGTATTCGGCGTTTTGCCGATCGCAGCGGGCCCTCGCCCCCCCCCCATGGAGTAGATCTTGATTTTTTGTGTGGCACCTGCTTCGAGCAGGTGGGGTCTCCCCCACGGGACGCACTGTTCCAAACTGTCGCCCTAAACAAAGGTCCGGAGCCAGACAACCCCCCTTTCCTCCCCTTCGGCCGGATGCCGAAACGCCGAATATGAACACGTTCGCTAGGTAATTTCTCTATTCGCGGACGCGTGCGATAGCCGAATTGGGCGATCGAAACAAAGAAGTTGTGTGGATGCATAGGCGGAGGAGGAGGTGGCGGGTGAGCAGGAGGATGAGGAAAAGGAGGAGCACGTGGAAGTCGGGGGGCGTGGACGAACAGCGGGTGCAGGACCTGGACTGGAAGGAGCATGATGAGCAAGAGGACCAGTGGGAAACAAGCGGGGCGACAACGATGAAAAAGGACCCAGATCCAGGAATACGGCCCACGTTGGGGCGAGGGCGCCATTCTGACCGACGGGAGCACAGCGCCGATCCGAAAGTGAAGCCCACGCTGCAGCGGGAGCACCATCTTGAAACACCGAACACGATCGGATAGGAAACAATGGAAAGACAAAGCAGTAATACCTTCTGTGCACCAACCATAGGCACAGAGGACTGGAAATCTTCCAGACAGGGTCGAGGGACACCGGAGAGTAGCATGCACTCGTAATGTTCGATTGTGGAGGAGCATAAAGGGGGAGGGAGGGGCAGAAGGGGGAGACGGGAGGAGGGGGAAAAGGAGGATCACACAGAGCCCCACTGAGAAGGAGGAAGAGAGGGGAAGAGGAAAAGGAGGGCTGAGGAAGGGGTGGAGGAGTGGAAGAAAAATCAGGACGGGGGAGGAACGAGGAGGAGAGGCGTATGGCAGCGTACGTGTGTGGAGTTAGCGATACGTTTGATTTCACATTCGCCAGCGCTCGACGTCTACTCATCATGTGTGCTCTCTGTGTCGGTGCCCCCTTGGGTGTGGCAATATCCCCGACTCACGCCATGGCAGTGGGGGCTATACAACGTTACTGTGCCTTCCTCTCGAACGGCCGCGGTGGTCCATTGTTTTTTGTTTTGTTCTTTGCTTTATATTTCCGAGTGCTTACTGCCCCACGAGGTTGTTCACGTGCGGAACTATTTCGAAAACCCGAACCAATTGGGAGCGAAGTACATCGAGGATTGGGGGATTGCGGTATGAAGTATGAGTGCAGGAGTGCAGAGTGGAGGGAAGCCCGATGGGGCAGAGTGGGTGAGTCTGCAAGGTTTTTGTAAGGACGATTGGGTAGTGTTGTCGGGCGTTCCACTGCAATGGCTCCCGCGGCACCTCCAGAGATGCTCGGTCATATGGTTTGCATGCCCGTCCAAACGCAAGTGGCGACGTGATTCTTCATTGGAGCAGGTACTCGTAGCGCACGCCCATGCATGTCTGCAGAGAGTTGGTTCGCTTGTCCTCTGCCGTTCCGTCCAGCTTGCTGCCGTTGGACAGGCTGTTTCCTGGAGACAAACATTTCTGTTCATGCAGGATCGTCGAAGTTTGTTTCAAATGCCGACGCGACTCTTCGACACATTTCTTCCATGTTTTCAGTGGTTTCACGACTGCGTCTGAAGTCGAAAAGATGTAGGAGACCGTCGTAGAACACAGCGGGCATGCATCGCAACAGAGATACGTCCAGGCGTGCTTGCATAGGCATTACCTGGAGAGTCCGATGAGTTTCGCCCTGCCGTGGCTCACGGAGGATGGGTGAGGTCATCGTGGTCGTGGACGTGCAGAAGGCATGGTGTGTTTGTTTGCTCCTTTTGTTCCTCCGCGGCGGCGGATCACCTGCTGCACCACCGTGTCGCTACGGATCGGTGCAGCCACAGGATGAGTTGTCAGGCGTTCCCTCTGCCATGATGGCATGCGACTCTTCTTGTCGCTGCGGGCTCTCTTCCTGCTCTCCGCCTGTTTGGATCACCCCAGGTGCGCTGAGCCATCCGGCCTATAAAGCTGTTCTTCTCCAGGGGGCGGCGCAACAGCCCGAAGATTAGTTTGCTTCGCGCTGAAAGAAGTGCGAAGTAAAGCGACGTGTGGTGCCCACTGTCGAACCCCAGAGGTCTCCCGCCGGCGTCTCAGAGTTCTCCCGAGGTCTCCAGATGTCTCTGGAGTCCAAGAGGCTACTCGGAGCTATGTCGGAGGCCTCCTGAGCTCCTGCGGAGTCGTTGTACCCTGATTCTCGGCTTATCTACTCCCAGGCACCCGACAATGCGACTTGTTCAGTCCGGGACACCCAGAGATCTCGATGCTTTCTTTTTGAACAGTTTTCCGCACCGGATTAATTTTTGAATTTTCGATAGGCCTGGAGCCCGAACATTGCCCTTAGGGATCAGGGGCCAGTCTTAAGGAGAAGGAGGTGGAGGAAGAGAAGGAGAGCGGAGGAGGAGCAAGAAGGAAGAGGAGGAGGAGGAGGAGGAGGAGGAGGAGGAGGGAAGAGGAGTGCGGAGGAGGAGGAATAATGAAGAGGATGATGAGGAGCTGGAGGAGGAGGAGGCAGCGGAGGAGGAGGAGGAGGTGGAGGAGGAGGAGAAATAGGGGGAGAAGGAGGAGAGCGTGATGATGAGGAGGAGGGGGCCGAAGGCGTGAGAAGCGACGAGATTGAAGAGGTCCAAATCCGCCAGAGGCCCATCGAAGAGCCCGACAACGTCCCAGAACCCCGATCTTCGAACTCCTGGCCGAGGAAGAACAGAAGAACAATTGTAAAGAAGAGGAAGAAAAGGAGAAAGCAAATCCATCAACCTAAGCGTTCGGAGGTCTGCGCGGATTTCTTGGACCTACGCTTGCCCACTCCCCCTGCGGCGCCCTTGGCGCGCTCCGCGCGCCAGCGAAGGGTACCCAGCGCCGATCCAAGAAATCCACACAAAACTCTGAAAGTTGATGTGTATGTTGCTTTTTATTCCTCTAAGCAAGTTCGATGTTCGTTTGGAGGGCCTTCCTGGGGCTCACTTGACGGATATGTCCGACCCCAGTTCGATGATCATTCTAAACGTTTCGTGTAACCCCACCAGCCCATCCAGAGACGATGCCCAGGCGAGGCGCCCAGGGGGGGCTTCTTTCAGCGTCTTGGGTGCCTCGGGTGTCCTCTTGAGGCGTCTTGGGGGTCTCTTGGGAGCCTCTTGAAGGCCCTTCGGGCGCCTCTTGGAGCCTCCTGGGCGCCTCGTGGGGCCCTCTTTGGGCGCTCTTGGGTGCCTTGGGAACGCTCTTCGGGCCATCTTGGACGAGATCGATACAAACAGAAGAGAGCTTCAATTCGCCTCGCCATTCGAGAGTGCCTAACATCGCCTTCTCGGGCCCCTCTTGGGGCGCTCTTGGGCGCGCTTTGGGCCGCCTTGGGGCTCTCTTGGGCTCCTCTTGGGACCTTCTTGGGCCCTCTTGGAGCCATCTTGAGGCCTCGGACGGCCATCGGAAGCGAAAAGGCGAGAAAGCAGAAAACAATGAATGGCTCTAGGCTTTGGAAGAATTTTGGCTTCTTCGAGGCCTCCTTGGAGGTCTTGGAGGCGTCGTGGAGCCGTCTTGGAGCGCGTTCTTGGGGCCTATTGGAGCATCTTGGGAGCCGACTTGGGGCATCTTGGGTTATCTTGAGCCATCTTGGAGGTCATCTTGACCTCTCTGAGGCCCTCTTGGAGCCATCTTGGACGAACACGTACCCTCTGACACCTCGCGGGGAGCCCCGTCCAGGTCCAGGGTAGGGGGTAGAGGGGAGGGGTCCCCCCCTCCCGAAGGAGAAGAAGGGGTTGGAAGAGGAACCTCCCTAGACCACATACGCCCAGAGGGCTGGTGGGATTTGGCTCAAGTTTGACGCAAGCCAGACTCAAGTCGACGGACATTCGACGCAGAATCGACGCATGATTGGATGGAATGGCTCCAGGAAATTCCCCAGAACACGGATCTACTAAAGGTAATCGATCTTCGATTTTCGAACAGCGTCCCGAACACCCCGATCCTCAAACATTAGCCTTCGCAAGAGGTATGGAACATCGGCGCCCGTTCCAGCCGCAGCACCGCCCGCTAAGGCTCCTCGATCCATCCCCGACTCCTCCAACCCTCATCGCTCGACTCGCGCGTCCCTTCTCGATCCGTGTTGGATCCTCGGCTCCCCGATTCCTCCTCGATGCCTCCTCTACTCATCCCCAGACACCCGATGTTTTCATTTGTTCGATACGGGATCCCCAGAAGTCGCGACCCTTTCCCGAGGGCCAGCTTTCCATCCCGAACCGTTTTTCCGGTCCTGGGGCTCAGCGAGGGCCCCGGAAGCCGACAATGACGAAACAGATAATCAAAGGCCTCGCAAAACGGGCGGGTCCGAGTAGATGGGGTCAGAGGATCGCGCAGCATCCCCGATGCAACGGCGACGTGGGCAAAGCATCGGCGACGTCCGCATGGAGAAGATGGGGCTCGATCATCGAGCCGCATCGCCGATGCATCGGCGATCCATCGCGACCCTCGGCACCTATCTGCTGGGACACTATCTGCGACGCCCAGAGAGTCGTGACCACTGCTTCAAAATAGCGACACAGAAAAACGGGGTTGTCTTCACCGACACTGGCGCGTAATTAAGCTGTCCGCGTAAGGTCGCGCGTAAGCGCACAGGCAGCTTTTCTCCCCAAATCCCCAGGTTCCGCCTGAAAAGTTTGGCCGCTCAGAAAAGGGGGAGACCCTGGGATACACCCCAAGGGGGCTATTCGGACGCACCTCTCATCGAGGGTGGACGCCCCCACCATCGTAGATCCCAGGGTTGAGCCCAAGATTCCTGGTCCACTCGACAACTCCACGACGCCTGCTATCCACTGTGGCGTGCCGCGCTGGCGGCCCGCGCTGGCCGCTGCGTGGGGTCGCCGTGCCGCCGCGCGCACGACGGCGAGGCCGCCGCCCCGCCGACCGCAGCCCCGCCGGGCCGAGAGCCGGCCGGACATGGCCCGCCCCGGCCGCCAGCGGCGGCCACCGCGGCCCGCGGGGCCGCCCGCCGTGGCGAGCCGCGATGGCCACGCTGCTGGAGCTGTGCAACGAGTGGCTGCTGTTCGCCATCCTGGCGGGAGCCTCGGCCCGGCGCCCGAGAGGAAGGGCCCGCCTCTCTCCCCAGGGAGAGACTGCTCGCGCCTCGCGGCGGGAGGTGGTAGATTCGTCGTCTTCGGCCCCTCGGGGGGGGCCCCGCGGGGCCCCGGGACCGTCAGGGAGCGGCTTGGAACGAGAAGCCGGGCCACGGGGAACGCAGTCGGGATTTCTGGGGGTCCCACGCTGAAAAAATCAGGGCATCGCACGTCTGGGTCTCCGGGCCTCCTAGATGGGGTCCGAGCAGGTGGGGTGATGCGGCCCGACGCGGACATCGCCGATGTATATCGCCCACGTCGCCGATGCATCGCTGATGTATCGGCGATGCATCGACGATGTGGCGAGATCCTCCGACCCCATCCACTTCGGCTCAATCTGGGAGTCCTCCATCGTCTTTGATTTCTGACGACATGGATGCAGGCGCTTTTTCTCAAGGCTTCGGCAAGTTGACTTGTATATAGGGGGGGGCGGCGAGGCCCGAATGGAGATCTGGACGTCAGACTAGTCGGGACCCACTGGCAGACCCTTGCGGCTCAGCGCTGCTTGAAATCGCGGCGGCGGGGGGGGAGGGGGGTGGGGCAAGTTAGGTGCGCTCGCGTCAACATCTGACATCCTACCCCTCCCTCCCATCCCTTACCATGGCGCTGATTTTCTCTATCCGCGGACGCGTGTCGTAGCGGACCTGTGGCTCCGCGCGCGTGTGCGTAGTGGGTGGTGGTGCGCGTGCGTGCGTGCGTGTGTGCGTGGTTGTGGTTGTTGTGGTGGTGGTGGTGGTGTGTATGTGTGTGTGCTTGTGTGCGCGTGTGCTGTGGTGTGACGTGGTGTGGCGTCTTGGTGGTTTGGTGGTGTGCCAGGTGCGTACGTGCGTGATGGCGGTGGTGGTGGTGGCGCTGGTTGTGTGTGTGTGTCTGTGTGTGAGCGTGTGTGTGTGTGCGTGTGTATGTGTGTGTGTGTGCGTGCGTGCGTGCGTGCGTGCGTGCGTGCGTGTGTGTCTGTGTGCGCGTGTGATGTGGTGTGACGCGGTGTAGCGTGGTGGTGGTGGGTGGGGTAGTGCGGTGGTGGTGGCGGTGCGCGGTGGTGGTGCGCGTGCGTGCGTGCGTGCGTTGGTGGGTGGAAGTGGCGGTGGGTGTGCGTGCGGCGGGGCGGGGCGTGGTGCGGCGCGGTGGTGGCGGGCGGATGGGCGCGCGAGAAAGAGGCCCGCGCTGGGGCGAGAACGCCATCCTGAACGACGGAGGCAAAACACCGATCCGAAAATGAGGCCCACGCTGCAGCGGGAGCACGATTCGGAACGATTCGGGAGCAGAAATGAGGCCGGCGCCTCAGCGAGAGCAGCATTTTGAAAAAAAACGCAGGCGAAAACCCAACTCCGGGGAATCGTGTGTGTGCAAAAGAACAGTACGCCGGGGGGGGGGGGGCGAATACGCAAAAGACGTCATCAGGGGAAGAGGGAGAGTAGTATTCATATTGAGTAATTGTGGAGAGGGAGTGCCACTCAAGTAAGCTTGCCAGAATCGAGGGTCGAAGATCACTCGAGGATTGAGGATCGACGATCCTCTCCCAGATTTCCGAAGATACGATTTGTTTCCACCAGCGGCTTTCCCGCGTTTTCGGCCCTCGGTGGCCGTGTTCGGGCCCTGGGGCCATCGAAGATGGATCCGGGGCGAGAGTGACAGCACCAGGGGACCAGGTTGGGACCTCGGGGGGTCGCGGATCGAGAAAACATATATCAGATCGGCATATATCAGGGTCTTCTGGAGCCACCGGGTACCCTCGGCGGCGCAGAAGCATCGGACGGTCGGCGAGCCAGAGGATTTTTTCTTTTGGTGGAGCCCCTGGCGACGTACACGCGCCGGCGAAGAACAAATCGTTATTCTCCAAACCTTTGCAAACAGGGCGTTAGTAAACGGGTCAGTAGCTAAGGGTGCGTCTTCAATTGTGTTTTCAAGAAACTGACTTGCCGCGCACAAGTGCGAGGTAAGTTCCCCGCCCAGAGTTATGATGATGTATCAAGGTTTGTT